GCCCACGGTTGCTGCTCTATTATTACCAGATCAGCTGCAATTACACAGAGAACCAACAGATGATGTTTGGGACTAACATTCATCCTCAATGTGTAAGAACTGGAGATCTAATATTTAGCAATACCAGCGCCGGCCGTGTCCGAATGCAGGTCAACTAGGGAATGGGAAGGAATGTGTTGACGTGGTACACCGAGAAATCCTCTGCGCTTCCACGAGAAATCACTGGGATGTTGGATGTAGGGAAAGGTTGCACGCACACGCAGGGATCGTTTTTTGGTAGAGCGATTATAATACACAAACACACACACACACACACACACGCGCGCGCACTCATCCAATTTCTATTTTTAGATCAGGACCCACACTGTGGTAAGTGATGCGATCGGTGTTAAAGAAGAATTTTTGTTTTTCATTAAAATCTAGTGGGTATAGAATAAGGCAAAGTGAAACATTGCAAGGAAGGGGACGGGCCTGGGATTGAACTCCCGACCTTCTGCTCAGTAAGCAGAAACGGTAACCACTGAGCTACCGAGCCTCGTCAAGCCTAAATGTTGTAGTTGGATGTCGGAAAAAGCAAATCTCGATTACTTTTTCGAAGGGGCGTATCAGCTTTTGTAAACAATGCATTTGATCGTAGATTTGGTGTAACTGGTTGTTCGCCCATGCATGCTAACACTACCATCAGATATGAGAAATTTCCCCCCACCTGCTGGTGGTGTTAGTAAGCGTGTGCGAGCTACCAGCTACGCAAAATCGACGATCAAATGCATTGTTTACAAAAACTGATACGACTCTTCGAAAAAGTAATCGAGATATATCAAAACAAGTTACCTGAACAGGAGAATCGCAGTATTAAAAGTTCTTAAAATTTTCCTGGAGTTTATATCTTGAAGTTCTATAAGTCAAATAACATTTTCTGTGATACAAAGATGTGTTACAAAAGAAATTATATTTCTCCAAATTGTCTAGGAGATATTTTACAGGTTAACAATTTTGAGCACTTTTGAGCATTTTAAGTTCATAACATCATTTGGTGGGCGTTGGCCAAATTTGGATTTTTTAGATATAATCCTAAATAGGACCTAGATTATTTAATACTTTAGTAATCTCAAGTCCGTGCTATGTCACAATGTTTCATTGTGATTAATCAACACTCAAACTTGTAAAACATAAAATTTGGGGTAAATTTGAAAGAAAGGGAACTTGGAGTGTAGAGCGCACTGCCCACTGGACAATTCTGAAGCCTGGCCAAGTGAGTGGGTTACGGGTTTATTTGATTGTACGTCATTTCCAAGTTATATATAGATACATTCATGCCATTGGCATTTTGTATTTGAAATAAGACAGAGATAGGATGCGGAGGGCCCGCTTAGGAGGAGCGTAACCCATGTTATGGTTTCCATTTATTAAATAGTTCAGATAGGCTAGAAATGACAGGTTTATAGTGAGAGAATGTACCATATTGGGAAAGCATAATTTTCATAGGATTCAGAGCGGCTGAGCTGTTTGTTTGTAGTTTGACCTTCCTTCAAAACCAATTTGGCTCTAGAACAATTTTAAACTTTTTCTGCATTATTCACATCACGCTTGTATGAAAAAGTATTTCGTTTCGAGATGCGCAATGTGGCCCCTGGTCTCTCCCTTTTTATGGCACAGACCTGTTGGTCCATATTAGACCCCTGGTCTCTGTGAGATAGCTTAATACAATTAAATAGAAATGCCAAAATTTTACCGAGTTGTTTAGCTGTTCTGATGTCGGTACAGTTTGTTGAGGTCGGGTATAGTTTCTGTGTATGGATGCCCATTTTGAAATAACTCATATTAGCACAGAGTAATAGTTTTATTGCTAGGGAACTTTCTTTTGGGATCGTCTTTTCTTCATACAATTCTCATTATTCATACTATATTAATCATGATCAGCCTTAGAAAATGTTATATGGTTAAGCCCCGTTCTAGATTTGTTTGTTATTCATATCTTATGCATTGCAGCTCGCGAGAGGTTACCAAATATGGGTTATTTTTCTCATCCACAATAGTTTGGGGGAGGGGGCGATCTGAGAGCTGAATAGAGACAAATAAAATAGGGAACACAACACCATGACCCAAACGACTAACCAACGCATGCGGCTCACACTTAACTATACTATTATTCTATTTCTTTCTTCCCCTCATGTACCAATATTACCTACCTGGGAACAAATGGGAACACGACCAGATTTTCAATAGGAAGAAGAAAAAAAAGCGAGAAAACGTAAGAGAGTAAGCAGTCAGAAAGGATTAGGCCATTTGGAAACAGCCAATTTATACTGGACGGAACTGGTAAGTAGGATAAGAATTGTAAAAGGTGTGTGCTTGCATTATTTACCTATTTTAGAATTACCTATAAGCCACATGAGAACCTCATTTCCTTCAATTACTACTCCATTGCAGCACACACCTAATAATGATAACTAACATTCATATAGTTTCAGCATTATCGGCATTTGTAATCAATAGGTGAGTTGTAAAGTATAATTACCATGCATAGATATAAGTTAATGTACCAGAACCTGGACGGACACGAGCCTACCCCGGGGAGGACCCGGATACGACCACCCATGTGTGTCTAGAGTATCGCACGAGCTGACGAGTGCAACGGAAAGGACAGTAGGTGTATAGACTAGGGGGTTAGTCCCTAGATAAGCCAACTTAGCGGTTGGCACAGCCTATACACTGAACAATTACAATTACAATTTAAGTTCATAACATCATTTAAAATTATCAATTTTGTAAAAAAAAAAACATTGTTGGATTATCAAAATCATCCCGGATATCTGCTCTCGAAGTTCTGCAGACTCAACAAGGTATACGCAAGGTTGCAAAGACTCATTTCAGCTAAAATAATGTTTTTCGGAATAATAAAACCAAAAGATGGTATGATGGCATGTTTTACTTGTAACTTACAAGAAGAGGTTACAAAGTATGCGTTGTAAACATAAAACCTGTAAATTTTGCTTTCTATGAGTCACAATCAGCGATTTGCTGATCGCTGAGTGAGTGAGTGAGTGAGTGAGTGAGTTTGTGAAAAATCGCTGATTGTGACTCTCATGAAGTGAAATAAACAGGTTTGATATCTCAAACACATTCTTCGCAACCTCTTCTTGTATCCTACCAATTCAAAATTTGATCATAGCATCTAATTATTTCATAATTTAGAAAAACATTGTTTTTGCAACCTTGGGTATACGATGATTCGACTTAATGATAGAATGGGTAAACCTTCGTGAAGCCCCATAATATCATTGGTTTTTATTATTAGGTTTTCCAAAATGCCTGGGGTTCAGATCTTTTAGTATTATTATTAAAGTCACTTGAACACTCTTGGAACATTCGTGACTTATGGCAGTTAGATTTGAACTCAGGATAATGATGATTTCCCCTAGGTTTGAGCTGGACAATTTATCTCTAAGATAATTAAGTACTTCGAATTTGTCGTGAGAGGTATAGATTCAGATCTTTATATTCTACAGGCTAACCAAGGTATTCTACGATGTCGTGACTAATCTGGTGTACATGGTTAACACAAATACAGACATTATTTTTAATTTATCTCTTTACCAATCATTTCATGAGTTTATAATTTCGTTGATTGTGTCCGGTGTCGAACATTTGCATGCCAAGCATGATCGGGTATGCAAGGAGTTTTAGATCGGTCATTCTTTTAATGGTTTGAATCTGCTTTTCTATCTTCAAGTATCTTCTTAACAAGTTATAGTATGTCTAGCTCAGGCTTTAGAACTACTTCACTCAGAAAACTGTAGCAAAATAATTGAAGCATCTTTCTTCCAATGAAACCAAAAACAACGGCAAAATCACCGTATACCCCGTGCGCTAACAGATTGTGAAAGAAAAGAATAGAGTTTTTGTAACTTTGAAGATTGTTGATACTTTATCATAATGAAAGACATAATATGAAAGTTGTAAACAGATGTGTACACAAAATAGTATAATTATGTACATGAAATAAAATTGATTGATTCCATGTAACATTGCAAATTTTATAAAGATGTAAATGATTCTTCAAAACCATATTATGGCCTTCAAGATTATGATATTTAAAAAAATGCTACTTAGGATGAATATATATGATGCGATTTGGGTTTTCCCGGCGAATCCAATTCCCGGTTTTTTCCCGGATTTCCCGGTTGGATGGACACCCTGATTGCTATGATCCTGCCGATCGATAGTATGCCGCTAACGGAAACATTTTAGAATTTTCCAAATGGATGTTCAAAATTAATTTTCAGTTCGCGGCTTCCATCAAGTATAACTTCTTTTGAACAAAATGGATCGTGACGAACTTTTCAGTACTGAAAGAGGAAACATTTAAAAAAAACTGCTGTCAAACAATTCCAGATCCGACCGCTAGGAGCACTGCAGTAAAATAAACAGTGCGTCTAGATACTAATTGACTCAATTGACCGTAATATTAACAAATTGAATAGAAATGTAGTGATAATTTCAATGTTGAATGGTAAATAGATAATCTTTAAAAATGACGAAGGTTGAAAAAAGATATCACTTTTTTAAACTTTCTATTTTTTGTATTCACTGTAACACATTCGACCTAATAAAAACGAAATCTAGTAGCTATATTTACGGTAGTGCATGAATTACACTTTCACCACTACAGCATCAATGATAATCAATTCACCGGCACATAGAAACCAATATAGAAACGTATCGTATCACCTTAATAAATTCATTGGCTTAAACACACTTCTTCGTATTTTAATATTTCTCGATATCTCCAGGATTTTTAGCGTTGCATTATTATGGTATACATTTGTAATCCATCCTAACCCATTTTAGCAGGAATTTCCAATGTCAAATTAATTGTTGCTTAATTTGCTTTCTTCGGAGATGGGAGGTTTGTTATGGTGGCCTTAAAGATAAAAGGTTTTTGTGTCATCGAAGGTTAGCGGACAAGGTTTTTCGGATCTTAAACAACCTACTACGCGTAGAATTAACGTTTTTTCTCTGTATTTTCAACTTTTTTCTTTCATGTTTTGAAAATAATAATAGTACAATGCTTTCCTCATCGCTGCTGTAATAAACATAAATTACAATGTATGGGTGTGTTTGTTTGTGTGTGTGTGTTGTGTTTCGTGTTTGTATGTGTGTGATTTTCCTCACTTAATTTGATGACAAATACAACATAACTTTTATAGATAGTTTAATAATGATAATAATAATTTTAATAATAATAATCAATAATGACAATAAAGAGAAGGAGAAGTACTTCCATCGGTTATGCCTTTTGCATATGTTGATTTCTGCTGTTTGCGTGTTTTCCTTTCTATACACTAAACGACTAATAAAGAAGAAATAACTATTAACTAAACGATCAAGAGATACAGTAAGTAACATACAATAGAAGTTTTTAGTTCTCTTCCGTACATTTGTTAAGATTTTGTTTGCTTTGTCACTAGGTATTATAAAAAAAATTGCTTTTCTCTGTTTTCCTCAGACTAGGGAGGGATTCCGTATTTACGCATAAATAGACACAAAGGTTCAGTTGTGAAAAGAATCGAAACCAATTGGAGGAGTTTTCCACTTATTGCAATCTTTTTCCCAAGAAAAAAGAAAAGGTTTCAAAATGCCTTTAGAGTTTGTTGTTGTCTGTTTCTATCTATACACGGCGCACAACTTAATAACTATCACCTTTAGCCTACAAACAGGACGCGTTAGAAAAGTGCTTGAAAAATTCGATTCGAAACGAGACGACAATTAACTGGGGTCAAAATCCCTGTGCTTGACAGCCCCTACAGTCTATTAAACGAGCCAATGGAGATCAAATCCGCGGTTTCTTCTGCCCTAATTCTGCTTCTTGGTGTAAACCATCCAAATGCTTTCCATTCAGAAGCGGTAATGTGTGTTAGAAAAAAATAATAATGGAAACTCGATCCTCAGTGCGACCAAAGAAAAACAAAAACCGGGAACATCTTTGTCGTTCAGGTTTGTATGTTGAATGATGTATAAATATAAATACGCACTGCATGGTTACTATAAAAATCTATAAATATACCATTTGCTTCACCTTCTAAAGATATTGTTTTTGAACAGCTTCAATTATTGTTTTCAGATTGTTGTCACTCCTCAACGCACACATAGTCATTGTTTTATTTTTTTTACAAAAATTTAAATAGAAAACAGGATTCTTTGTACAAAGCAGAGAGTCATTTGCCATACAGTTGACTTGAACACTGATATGAACAAGCTGCTTGAAATGCTCTGCCTTTTCGTTAACCTCGTTCAATTGTACGCAAAATTTACCAACCAAACAAATTTACAAGATTTATTCTCTTTACAACAACGATGAACAGAAGTGATTTTTACGGTTTTCTTTATTCCTACAGTTAAATCAATATAACAAAAAAAAGTTACAGATGACTAAAGTACAAACCAATTGCATTCTCTCCACTGGGTAAACATTTCCCCGAGAAAAGAACGTTTCCACATCACGCATCTCATAGCTAAACGCCAAAATGCTAACTACAGGCAGGGCAAGCCAATTGTTCCATAAATAATATCTGGCTCATTTCTTCTCAAGAGGGAATTTTTGAAATCATTAAATTTACCGTTTCAGTTTCTGTCTTTCCCTTTCAATAAATAGTGTACCTCCTCGTTTGATTAACGCCAGAAATAGTGTTAGGATAATGATTTTATTTCTATCTTCCCTCTTAAAATCTCTCGGTTAGGTTTAAGAGTACATGACCATCCAATACGGGCAAATCCACGCGCGCACTAATCTAGGTGATAAAAATAAATGAGTCACTTGTAGTGTGTTTGTGGTGAAGTTGTAAAAACCGTTGCTCCTGTTCTGCTACGCTTTTGGATGTTGTTATTCTTGTTCTCCTATTTATCATGTTTTGTTGTTAACTCAATCAGCGGTTGGCCGATTGTTGCCTTCTTCTATCTACTTAGCTTACTAATTACACGAATGAGCGCACCGTTCTCGTCCTTCAGGCGCTGATTCTCGGTCTTGAGGGCTTCCAGTTGCTGCACACAGGTGGTAGTGGTGGTGGTGGTGACAACAATCACGTAATGACACAAAAACACAGACGATATTGGAAAAAAAGAAAACAGATTGTTGGGAAAATACAACGGAAAGAAATTAATTTCATTATTTTTAATGAACTAAATAAAACAAAGGCGAACAATAGAAGCTGGCAGTCAGTCATTCGACGGAGAGTTAAAATTGTATTAAGAAAAAGAAGTAGAAACGGAGTAGACGAAGGCTATAATTTACACGAAACATTCAAAGTCATTCAGGTAGTAGTGTTGTATGCATATTTTAAAGTTAGTTTTAGTTCAACAAACAACACAAGTTTATTTTATATATTGGACAACCATTTGAAAACTGTTTGTTACGCTGTATAATAAACACACGTAGTTTAGTATGAAGCAACAATTTTTAAGAACATCTAATTAAAAAAAAGTTTTAGAAATATACATAAGTCGCATTCAACAGCGAACATCTATAAAGCATACAGAATACATACAGAGAATAGTACTAGAATAAAAGGCTATCATTTAATAGAGCTCATACCTTGAAAATATGATATTTTAAACAGTGTCTAATTATGGGTGGAGTAAGTGTGTCAGTCCTATTTGGGTCGTTTTAATCCCATTAATAGGAATATGAAATTTAAGCAACAGTTTTTCAAAAAAATTATATTGGAACACCTTCAATGAAATAAAGAGTAGATTCTTGTCCATTGAAACTCAATGATATGTCTAGAACTTGGTAACTCATTTATGGGAATCACCTCTATGACACGTCCAGAAATAATCAGAGACAAATCAATTCAAGAAAACCATGTGAACTTCTACAGAGTGCTTCGAGGACAAGTCCAGATTACTCTGAACTCAAGACTGGAAAATCCTTCATTAAAGTTTTCTGACCCTTTCGCGTTTCAATTAATCACATATTCAAGCAGTTTTAGGACGTCACCATTAATTTTTTTTTTTTTTTTAGGATAAACATAAATAAAACACTATTTTTTCGAATTCTAGAAAAATCCTCAAATATTACACCGTAACATCACTTTGAACTGCTCGAATGCTGTGATCCATTGGAACATACACGGCCGTAGTATCTGACTCAAATTTCAGATTGGTTTATTCACTTACACTAGAACCAAATAGCAAAATACAATGAATTTTAGAATCGACCTTCTCCGATTTGCATTAAGCTCTGCATAAATATGGACCAGTTAAGTCTGTGCCACAAATGGGAAAGCTTTGCACAATTGTTTGTTACAGGCAATCATTCACGTTTGTGCTAAAATTCTACCTTTTTTTTCGAAATGGCGTATTTGACATTTTTCCATAAATTTCAAATTAAATAAAGCTTTCCATACATTTTATAGAATGCAAAACAGACAGAAATCTCGTGTTGCAAAAAACGGGAAGGATCCGCATTCTAGCCTAGGGGCATAAATTCATCCAAATCTCCAAATCGTCTTTATGGTGACCATCAAACCTCGATTAGCAATTTTCGCGTTTTTGGAAATTATCGCGGTTTCAGGGCTGGTAGTGGATATGTAATATAATAGTAGTGACTTTAGTGACTAAAATAACGAAAATAGTGACCAAATAGTGACTTTAAAGCAATAAAAAAGTGACTACTAGTGACATTTATTGATCGGAAATTTTTTTTACAATATTTCGTTGACTGCGACCCACTTCGAGAAATTTTATAAACTCACAATCACAACCCATCCTAAGAATTTTTCATGCTCCTTTAAAATAAAACAAATAATGGTTTACCTGTCCCATAAATTTGTCTCGAAAAATTAATATTTATTTATTTTACAGTGAACCAGGAATTCAAGAAAACCGTGAAAAAGGCGTGAATTCGAAAACGCCGGAAAAAAATCGGGAAAATCCCGTGAATTTCGATGACAAACCGGGAAAAATAAGATTCTGGACCTTTAATCAATTGCATGACCCCTGGACTGGCAAATGTTTTCAGTATACAGTCACAATTCTGCAGATAACAACAATGTTTTTAGAGAAAAATACCAATAGATCTTTGTAAGAACTCTAAGAGAGATTACACTAGAACTCCCAGTCATTTGTGGGACTTCAGACGTTCAGAGTAGAATCTTTAGGTAGTAGGGTATACGTCCCTAACCTCGGTCTAATATGCAGCCATCGATTACGTTTTTAATCATAACTCATCAATGAATTTACCTGCAAACGATATTCTACTGCTAAATGGTATGCTTAGATATGCTTATCATGTCGTTTGCTATCAGAAACCACGAAAAGTTGAAAAACTTACTTTTTTTAAGACAATAACTCACGAGGGAAATGTATGTAATATGGGTCTATTGTCCCCAAATTGGGTCTATTTATGGATGCAACTTCGTCCTATCTTGTTTGATCCTCAAAAAAACGCTCTTGGTAACGTTTTCTGATGTATTTTTTTTTATCACTATCACTGTTAACTTAATGCTCTTCATTCCTCAAAACATTTCTTAGAGAAAATTTTACGAAAACTACATTAAATCACTCAATTTAAAAATTAAAAATTAAAAATTTCGCTTATCGTCTTTTGACCGCAGAATATCTAAATCAGAACATTGTGATGTTCATTATACAGGTTTGGCAGAAAAAATCTCCCTTCCTGTTCGTTCCTTATCATCCAAATGCAAAACAACATTGTTGACGTTACTCTTATTGCTATATGCTGTCAAATGAATTTCATGGGCCATAGTTAGGAACATAGAAAAGAAATGTGTCCCTAAAGTTGGGTCCATGTTTTACTTGTGAAAACGTTGTTAAACAATTAAAATAAACATAAAATATTCAAACAGCAACTGTAAGTTTTACGTCTAGTGTGTATTATCAGGTAATTCCAATCAATAAATGCCATAATCAGGCCATTTGATGATCGTCAGTCAACCTTCCCATCTTAACCTTATAAGTCATGGCGGCTAAAAACTCCGAACATTGTGATATTCTCAACCAGTTTTATTACTTACGAGAGCTGAAAATGTATTGAAATGTTGTGATATAAATTGATTTGTGTGTGGTACACATTTATCAACCATCAGTGATCAATATTTTCCTTATTTTTTGTGTAATATTCCTTAATTAATTATTTATTTGCGTGATAGGCCGAATGAAAGGACTAGACCCACATTACATACCGTAACCCTATTTTTTTTTTTGAGATTTAAGGCCAAGTGTGAAGCGGATTCCAAATCCATTTCAAATGAATATTCAAAATAAGTTCTAAGAAGAATTATGATGACATTTCGAAGGAAATTCTTAGAAAATTTATTATCTTTAAGTGAATTCTAAAGATAGTTTTAAGGATCTCACGATAAATACCAACCCGAGCAAATCTGGAGAGCCAATTGAAATCAAAATTTGCTGTTATGATGTAACTTATTTTGAATACCCCAGTTGATCTCATTTCGGTTGACTTAACGATTAACACAGCAAAAATGAGAGCAAAATTATACACTGTTGAATCAAACGGAAAACTAATCCTGCTTTCAATGAAATCAGTTTGATTACAGATTTTGCATTCATACTGTTTAACTGAATACGGGCCTGGCGTAAATGGTTAGCATCCATGCTTCTCACGCTGAAAGAGTTGAGCTCTAATCTCACCCGTGCAAGTTACGAGGTCATTCATGAATTATACGAAACAAATAAACAATAATCGTTAGTTCAACGACAAATGAACTTAACTTAAATTTTAAACAAGGCGTTAACAGCAGCACTTCAAGTTATGCTTTCATTTAAAAAGTCTTGACTGCATAATGAAAGCACCATATGATACACATATATGGTGCATACCCGAGCAAAGTCGGTTAACAAAATGAAAGCAAATCGATATTAAAGTTTGCAGTTCCTATCATAATGAAAACTCATTTTGATTTCAATTGTCGCGACAGAAGTCTGATATCATATTGTGCTTTCATTATGCAGTCAAGACTTTTTAAATCAAAGCAACTTAACTTGAAGTTCTTCTGTTAATTTCTTGTTTAAAATTTAGGTCATTTAAGGTCATTCGTGACTAGCCCGAGGTGACATTTGAGCTCAAATCTTTCAGCGTGAGAAGCATGGATGCTAACCATTTACGAAAGGCCCGTATTCAGTCAAACATGATGAATGCAAAATCAGTAATCAAATTGATTTCATTGAAAGCAGAATTAGTTTTCCGTTTGATTCAACAGTGTAAAATTTTGCACTCATTTTTGCTGTGTTAACCGTTAAGTTAACCAAAATGAGATCAAATGGAGTATTCAAAATAAGTTACATCATAACAGCAAATTTTGATTTCAATTTGATCTATAACTTTGCTCGGGTAACGACATAAGTCTGAGACAATTGATATCAAAATGAGTTTTCATTATGATAGCAACTGCAAACTCCAAACGAATTCTGAGATGAGAATTCTAAGCAAATTTTCAGAAGAATTTAGTGGAGAGCTCAAAGATAATTATGAGGAGAATTGTTTGACAATTCTGAGGAGAATTGCATACAAATTATAAAGAATATTCAGACTAATTCTAAATAGAATGCAAGGAGTATTTAAGGAAGTTTCAGTAAGTTTTTTCGAAACGAATCTTAGGATGAATTCGTTGATTTCAAAACAACCGGGAAAATTACCAAAATTCCGGGAAAACCCCAAGAAATTACAAATTCGGATTTGCTGGTCATTATGATTAGGAGTAATGCCAATTTGATTTATGTTTTATGTCACACAAAATTTGAAAATTTAGCTTTTTTCGTTTTCCACTTCACTTTCCTAAAAGTACACTTTTTACAACTTTTTTTTTATTAATAATTTATGAATTTATCATAAAATGAGTTGCTTAAACGTAAACTTATTTCTTTTTTGTTATTTAATATTTGCCCTTCCTCGACCTATTTGAGTGATGTTGGACATAAAATGGACACATTATTTGCATCATCCTTATGCCTTATTAGGTAATCAAATAATAATAACAAGACAAATGTTGAGAATTTTTAGA